GTAATTAATCCTGTGAGATTGAAAACTCTTTTCCATGGGCAGAGATCACAGCCAGTGTCTCTGGTGGCTCTGTCCAGGGTGTTCCTGACCCCTGCAGGGTCCCAGACCTGCCAGGGCAGCCAGAGGGAAGCTCTGGATTCCCACACAACAAGACAAAACAAAACAAACCTTCACTCTCAGCGTCAGCTCCGAAAGCTCAGAACATGATATCAAACAAAAACAGAACCCACGATGGGGGACACCAGCGCCATAGCATCACCCCATCTCCCTCTCCCGTTGCTCCGCAGGGCGCTGCAGCCTCGCTGAGGGCCCAGGACTCCCAGAACCTGCTGGCGGTCCGGAAGATCTCCGTGTCCCGCATGCATTCCCTGCCCAACGACAGCTACATGTTCCGGCCCGTGGCGCCGGCCGCCGCCCCGCTGCCCCTGCACGAGGTGGAGATGGAAACCTACCCCTGCAAAGCCCAAAGAGGTACCACCCTCGCTGCTTCCCCTGCTCTGGGGAAAAGTTTTGGGTTCCTCACCGTAAGAATGATGGGGAAGGGCTGGAGCGTGTCCAGGGAAGGGGATGCAGCACCAGGAGCAGCTTGGTGGGGGATCAGCTTGGAGAAACACAGGGGGAAACTTCTCACTCTGCACAAATCCCTGACAGGATGGGGCAGGGTCGGGCTCTGCTCCCAGGGATGAGAGGAAACAGCATCAAGTTCTGCCAGGGGAGTTTGGATTGGATATCAGGGGAAATTTCTCCACTGGAAGGGTGTTCAAGCATCAGAACAGGCTCCCAGGGCAGAGGTGGGGTCATCATCCCTGGCAGCGTTCAAAAAACCTGTGGATCTGACACTTGGGGACTTGATTTAGCGCTGGCCTTGGCAGTGCTGGATTAATGCCTGGAATCCGTGGTCTTTTCCAATTTTTACAACTCCGTGATTACAAGCACGGGGCAGGAGCTGCATGGGGTGTTCAGTGGGGAGCAACCAAGCCAAGCATGGCCTGAGCAGGGCTCGATCCCATCAGCACCACCGTGCTCTCCCACACCCTGCATCCCTCCACGCTCCCATCCCTCCTCCAGGAGCAAGCTCAGGTGTCTGGGGAGCAGCAAAGCTCCCCAGCACAGGTTTTTAGCTGAGGGAAAAGGGAGCTGTGCATTCCCTCTGGCTCCTCCTCAATAACATCCCCAGGAATAAAAGCCAGAGCTGGGATTGCTGCCAGCACAATTCCTCGTGTTCCAGGCAGGCTGCAGCCTCAGGGCAGTGCCTGCCAGCAGCACCGTGGAGTTCAGAGCTGCAGGAGTTTCTGTGGGAGCAGAAAGATCAGAAACCACTCTGGGCTTCTTCCCGAGCCCAGCCCTGTAATGAATGTCATGGCATCACAGAGCCTTTGAGGGGGCATCCATCCTCTGCATCCCAGCACAGTTCCCTGAAAATGCCTTTCTGGCTCTTCTGTCGAGCTGCTTTGAAGGGGAAATTGTTGGAATTTCGGATGCTGAGAATTTTAGATTTTTTTTTTTTATGTTGATAGATTTTGATTTTTAAGAGAGTATTGTATTTAATTTGAAGTGGTAGAGAAAGTTTTTAAAATTTAATTCTAGAACTGAGATTATGAGTGTGTAGTTTGATTAGAAGTGTATAATATATAGTGGAAAATTTAGAGTTTGAGGTTTTAAAATATAGTGATATATGTAAGGTAAAATAGAGGTTGTAGAGTGAAGGTTGGGGGTTTTAAATTTTTTTTTTATGGGTTTGGGCAGTATTCTGGTAGTAATTGGATAGAAAAGTTTGTACTGTGGGATATGAGGGATCAGTTATTAGGTTAAAAGTAAAAATACAACAGGAAATGGATCTGAAACACAATCTGTGCCTCCCTAGGAGCACATGAGCTCCTGGAGGGGCTCCCAAGAACTTTTCCCAGCCTGGTTCCCTTTGATCCAGCATGGTTTGAAATGCCAGAGCTGCCCGGTGGGTTTGCACACCCAGATTTGCTCTGATTTCCTTGGGAGAAGGAGCTCTGTGTTTGTTCAGACTCTCTGGGAGCCAGGTCATGTTCTCTGCTCGGTGTTTATTATTATTTCACCTGCAAATTCCTCGTGAAGGAAAGAAAACAGAGGTTGAGTTTCACAGGCGGCCTCCTGGAGCTGCTTTTCATCCCTGGAGCAGCTGCAAAGCAGGATTTATATCCACATAAAACTGCTGGCATGTTGGCAGGGGTGGGTAGAGCCCACCAAGGATTCTCTGATGTTTCCTAAATTCCTAAATTTCTCTCCAGGAGCACTGAAGGGATGGATATGATGGATATGACATTACCTGGTGGTAAAGCCTGCAGCACCCCGAGCTGTGCTGCTCCTGAGCTGCCCAAACTCTGCTTCAAGCCACAGATCCATAAATTATATCCAAGTTAAACTGAGCCCATGGAGACTCCCATGGGTGTTTCCATGGGCTTCAGGGTGTCTGATCTTCTCCCAATACTCCACTGACCACACAGTGAAAATCTTGTGGGATAAGGAGATCTTGGGATATTTTGGTTTTAGATGCAGTTTGCTGATTTCCTAGAAAAAACAGAGAAAAAATATACAACCTCTGAGACTTTCAGTGCTCCTGGGCATCCAGTTTGGAGGGGGTTTGGGTTTCCTATATGAGAGCTCGATGGAAAGTTTCCAACAGGAGGAAATTCCAGCTGAGGACAGGGAGTGGAGCATTTGGTCTGGGTTTTATGACCGTGATTGTGACAGACTTTATGGCAGAGTTTTTCTGCATCATAAAAAGCATTTTATAAAGCCTGGAATAGCACATGACCAGCACCGGCTCTGCTTGAAACTCTGGTTCTAGGAGAGCCCAAAAAAATCCTGGAGAGAAGCGGGTTGGGGGTGGGAATTCCTTCTGTGGTGTTCTGGAGAAAAGCTCCAAAAGAAAAATTATTAAACACTCACTTTTCTTTGTCCCCACCAACAAATCTGTCTGTGAAATGCAACTGTGATGTGTCTGGATGGTTTTTGTCAGGGGCTCGAGTTCCCTGACCCCTGGGTGAGGTCTCTTGGAGTGATGGATCACGGTGTTTGCATCACGGAGCTGGGCAGCGCTGGGGGAACAGGCGCTGGGTTTCAAACTAATGAGGACAATAAATCCCGCAGCCCAAAAGCAGAGAAGATCTTTCAAACAACTCCCAAGTGCAGGAAAGCAGCACCACGGATGGGCTGGGGAGGAGGGATGGCCTTCAGACCCAGGCTTTGGGAAGAGCTTGCACAGCTCAGGGCTGGCAGAGTGCTTGGAGCGTGGTGGGACCACGCTGAGCTGAGCTGTGCCCTGGGGACAGCCCCTGCTTGTGGCTGGGCTGTGCTGGGTGGGAGAACTGCCCTGCAGAAGTTGTAGAATATCCTCAGTTAGAAGGAATCCACAAAGATGAGAGTCCCAACATCTGTGAGCTCCCTGCCATCCCTGCTGAGATTCAAAGCAGCAGACAGGACGCGGGACAAGTTTTTTAATCCAAGGTCTATGCTGAGCTTTGGCATTTCGGCCAAGTCCGACAGGTTTTTCCTTCTCCCTCGTGTGTTGACTCCCTTCTTGGAGCTTCTGCTGACTGCTGCCTCTGTGCTGCCCTAGGATCCATCACCTCCATCCGCTCCCAGCCCGTGGCTGGCAGCTCCTCGCTGAGGGTGCCCTCGGAGGCGCTGCCGGCGGCCGCGCGCTGCCCCGGCCGCGAAGGGCGGCAGCGCTGGAGGGGCCCGGCGCCCCACGGCACCCCCCGATCTCCTGCCCTCAGCAAGCTGCTCTGCAGACAGGTGAGGGGCCACGGGCACCCAGAGGTAACACCTGGTTCCTCCCCTTCTCTCCCAGTCCCCTCCTGCGTTGCTTTGCTTGGAGGTAAGAGTGGAATTCCTGCTCCAGAGAGAAACGTGCCGTAAGTTTTAACACGTTCCTGTCTTAGCAAATGGCACGTGGATAGGCCCTTTTTCCCTGCTTCCATCTCCATGGCTGTGCTATCCCAAGAAATAAAACCTTCTCCGTGGGGAGAAGGTGCCCAAATCCACTTTACCAGTGCTGGGAGAGCCCTCCGCCGTGATGGGTTGTGCTCAGGACTTGGGGTTGGGGCAAGACCAGGGCCCAGCAGATGCCAGCCCTGAACGTGAAGACTCCTGCCAGCTAAAGTTTGTCCTCTTGCACAGGAGGGTCTGACAGGACTGACACGATGGGGCAGGGACGAGGTGGGCTGTGTTAGACCCACCAACCATGGGCTCCCCATCCCTGTGAATGTCCCAGGCCAGCTTGGATGGGGCTTGGAGCAGCCTGGACTGCTGGAAGGTGCCCGTGGCAGGGTGTGGAAGGAGATGAGCTTTAAAACCCCTTCCAACACAATGTGGTTCTATAATTCTGCGCCCATCACTGGCGGTGCTGCTGCCCAGCACATCCCCAGGCTCTCACCCCACTTCTCTCCCCTCCCCTTCCAGGAGGCCGTTCAGACGGACTCGGTGGACGGACAGACTCCAGAGCGCAAAGACAGCCTGCAAGCAGAGCCTGGAGAGCCTCAGCCACCAGCAAAGCAGCCCCCGAGCAGCCTCACCTCCAGCCCTCTCCATTCCCCGCTCCCGGCCACCCCTCCACGCTCGCCCCCATCCTCCCCACACCGGCCCCTCGGCGCCCTGGCTCGGAAGCACACGTGTGGCCAGCACGGCGTTCCCAGCCGGCCACCCAGCCCCACCGAGGGCTGCCAGGGCGAGCCCTCGGACCTGGCTGACGAGGAGGTTCGGCACATCAACAGCTCGGCCAAAGACTGGGCAGAGGAGCGCTCGGACCCCGGCAGCCGCTCCACCTCGCCCTTCGCCTCCCCGGCCCCGTCCCCCGCGCCCCTCAAGAACTGCAGCACAAGCAGCCTCTCCCGCAAGGAGAAGGACTTGAAGAAGTTCTACAGCACCGACAGCAAGGGCTTCCTCAGCAAGCCCAGCTGGGCCGACGAGCAGCGGCGGCACTCCATCGAGATCTGCCCCTCGGGCAGCGCCCCGGACCGCGGCTTCCAGGAGCCCGCCGAGGACAAGCAGCGGCTCCCCGGCCACGTCCCGCCGGAGGCCGAGCACATCCACGGAGCCCGGAGGAAGAAGAAGATGAGCCCGCCCTGCATTTCTATAGATCCTCCCATGGAGGACGACGGAGCAGCGGCCCCACGCAGCAAAGCCTCCGAGAACACCCTGCTGCGGAGGAGAACCCCGTCCTGCGAGTTCCCGGCCTACCGAGAATCCCTGGAGCTCCCGGAGAGCCGAGGGGAGCACCTTGGCATCCCCAACTTCTCCTTCGAGCAGCTGGACGGCGGCTCCTTGAGCAGCCTCTCGGAGCTGCTGGACAGCGCGCAGTCCACGCCGGCCTCCGTGGGCTCGCGGCCGGACGCTGAGCTGCAAAAGCAGGAGCACCTCCAAACTGAGAGGGGCAAAGAGCTGCTGGGCACCGCTGCCAAGAGCCCCCTGCGCAAGCAGGGCTTGGGGCCCGTGACTGCTGCCACAGGAGACGGCGCGGGTGACCCCGTATAGCTGCTGGGATGGGGGACAGGGGGGTCTCAAGGGCTTGTCACCAACCTGGGGGTGGCTCGTCACCCCGGCCGTCCCCTCCCTGCGGGCACTCGTTGGGAAGCGCTGTGGAAGTTTGCAAAAAAAAAAAACCACACACACACACACACACGCATGAGAAAATGGGAAAGAAACCCGAACGAGCGCGGCTGGATGAAACTGGGGATGGGGTTTTGGGGGGATTTGGAGAGAGGTTTTGGGGTTTCTTTTCTAAGGGGAAGGTGGAGTTGATGCAGGGGTGGCTTCGTTCCTCCCGCCCCGCTACGTGGCCTCGATCACATTGATTCAGGTCTGGTTGGGATTTGGGGGGATTCTCTTGGGGTTTTGTTGTTTTGTTGAGTTTGTTTTTTTGGTTTTTTTTATTTTTTTTTATTTTAAAGATGCTCAACTTTTCCTGAGGCACCTTTTTGAGCTGTCACGTTATGCTGGAGTGCCTGGGAGCTGGACATTGTCTGTATATCAGCAGTTCTATAAATAAAAATTCTGTATTTGTGAGCTACAAAACGAAAAAAAAAAAAAAAAAAAAAAAAAAAAAAAAAAAAAAAAAAAAAAAAAAAAAAAAAAAAAAAAAAAAAAAAAAAAAAAAAAAAACCAAACAAAAAAACCTGGGGGGAAAAACCAGACCCACAAAAACTCTCTCTTCATAATGCACATATTTTTATAGAGAAACAGAGATGCTGTTTTTTGCATTACGTGGGTGGTGTTTCCTTGGGTTTTCTGTGGAATTAATTATTCCAGCCATTGATTTTCCAAATGTTTCTCCTCTTTCCTCGCTTCCCTTCTCTCCACCATCACCCCGCCAGCTTCTTCTCACAGCTGATGCTTCTGACATCTCGCTCATTTTCTTTTGTACTTTAGAGGTTGTCCTAATTACAGACAAAAAACCAAATCACTACTGAATTGTAGCCAGTGCAATAATAAGTTATTCATTCTTCCTGTCTGTCCAACTGTCCTGTTGCTTTTTTTCCCCCTTTTTATTTTTAACTGAAATTCAGGTTAAACGTCGCAATAATCTGAACTGACATGCACAAAGACGGTTTCTTGTGTTACAAAGAGAAAAAAACTAATGAAAAAAAGGAAAAAAATAACTACATTTACAGAGAGATTAAAAAAAAACTGAACAAATAAATAGTAAATTATTTAAGAAATGTATTTTGTTTACTGCAGTTCTAAGTAAATTATTGATACAGTGTGTAAAGGTGTAAAGAGCTGTCGTAGGTGATGTTCTGTGTGAGCATTTAAGGTGATGATTTGTCCTCCTCGTGGCAGAACAACTCCCACCCTCGGGGCAGTTTGCACTCCCTGTCCCTCCCTCCCCATCCCTGGACACCTTCCCTTCCCAAGGCCCTTCCAGAAGCCTCTAGAGGAATCCAGGTCACCTTTTAACACCACTTTGGGTTTTTGGTTTTTTGGGTTTTTTTCAGCTTTTGGGGTAAATCTTCCTTTTTTACCCTCCTTCCCCACCCTTCCTCCAGGTTCTGTGTCCATGGCACGGCTTGGCCACGGGAAATAGGAGCAGGATGGAGCCCGTGGCCACCCAGAGGGGACCAAACCCATCCAACACCACTTTGGGGAAGTTTTTTTGGAACTTTTGGGGTTGATTTTCCTTTTTTACCCTCCTTCCCACCCCTCCTGCCAGCTGTGTCCATGGCACGTCTTGGCCACGGGAAATAGGAGCAGGACAGAGCCCGTGGCCACCCAGAAGGGAACAATCCCATCCAACACCACTTTGGGGAAGTTTTTTTGGAACTTTTGGGGTTGATTTTCCTTTTTTACCCTCCTTCCCACCCCTCCTACAGGCTGTGTCTCCATGGCATGGCTTGGCCACGGGAAATAGGAGCAGGATGGAGCCCGTGGCCACCCAGGGGGGAACAAACCCATCCAGTCCTTTCCGTTCGCTTCCTTCCGTGCCGCCTCATATTTATGCCTTCACATTTATCTTCTGTTATCGATGCATCCATTACTCCAAAGGAAATGTATCTTGTTTCACATCTATTAAACTGTATAAACTGGAAGCGTGGCCTCCCTTTGCGCCGCAGCGGGGGGAGCCCAGGGCTTGCCCCTCCCGCTCCCAGAGCTCGGCATTCCCCGAAAATTCCTTCCTCGACCTCTCCAAGCTGCAGCCCCCCAGGTGTGAACCATCCCTGCAGGAGCTGGAGGCTTCTCCCACCTCCCCCTGAGCTCGGAGGAGCCCTCGCCTCACCTCCATGTGCTGATCCGGCTGCTTCCGAGGAGCACCTGCGCTGCTGTAATTAAGAGTCATTTAGAATTATTGTAAATAATGAGTCCGTCTCGGTGGGATAGGGAGGAATTCCAGAAAAGAGCCACAAAATCCATGATTAACAGCGCTCTGGGGAGGATGGCAAACTGCTTTTGCTGCAGTTTAAGGAGGGGAGGTGAATCCCTCTGCTCCAGGCTGAGTCGGGGTGTCCCTCAGCATCAGGGGACACTCAGGATGTCATTTACTGCTGGGGTTATTTAGCTTTGCTGGAAAAGATCTGAATTCCCTTCTGGCCCTGTGCCTGAATTCCCTTCAGGGGGAAAATCCTCTCACCTGGGGATGGTGGCTCATGGTGGTGAGGGAGAGAGGCGTGTGGAACAACGTGGAAGGGCTTGAGGCCATGGCAGTGTTGGAATGAGCTGGGATATTTGCTCCTGGCTGCCACCCTTCCCAAAGCCCTTCCCAAAGCCATCAAACTCATCAGGACCCAAAAGAACCCCATGAGCCCGCAGGAACATCCTGGCAGCGTGGGGAGAATCAAGCTCAGCCTGAATTTCCCAAGAGCAGAGAGTGACTGTGGATTGCTTCCTGATGCCTCTTTTGGGGACGCTCACCTGGACTTTGCAGGTGCAAAACCCCCCCAGCTGCATCCCCAAACCTGGCCATGGCCAGAGAAACTATTTAACATCAGCAGTGTTAATTTTGTTGATTAAATCTCTGCAGCATTAAGCAATTTCCCCCCAGACTGTCTGCAAGCCTCGCTTAAGATCGGAAGTGAAAAGCACGGGGTAAATGCAAGTCATGATTATTTAATTGGATCGATTTCTTATTTTGCATTTTTAATGGCCATTCAGTCCTGTCCATTAATCAGCCAGAGTCTGCCCCAGCACTTTTCGTTCCAGCAAACCCACAGCCCGCAGGGATGGGCGCTGGGTCCATCTGGGCTGGCCCAGAGCCACCCCAGCGCCCTCGGAGGAGCAGGAATCAAACAGGGATTAAAAACCACCATGCTGAGGAAGGAAACCATCACAGGGGCTCGGCTTCAAGGGTAAATCTCAGATGGCATCGATCTGAAAGTCTCTTTGTCATGCTGGGGAGGGGAAAAAAAGGCTTTAAAAAATACCAACCACCAAATCTGACGCCATCCTGGGTGCAATTAGCCCCAACCTTAATCTGTCAGATCTGTGAGATCATACAGGTTGCATGAATGCTAATAAGCATTTGATATTTGTACAAGCTTTCTGGGGATGAATAATTCAATTGACTTCATCCATTAAATTTCCCCTATTAAGTTTTCAGACCATGGCTGGGTTTTAATGGCTGGGGCCACCTCATCCTCCAGACGAGGGGGCTTAATTAGGAATTTTAGTACACCCTGAGAGAGCCACGGGAGCTGAAATCTCTGTGGCTCTTTGGGTTTTGAGCAGCTCGTGTCCCTCTGCTGGAGCCCTGCTGAGCCCCTGGAACAACTCCAGCTCACACCAGGTGAGTGCTCCATCCTCTTCCAGCATTACAGTGCTGCCACAGAATGTTTTAGCCCTTCCCACGGGCTCAGCCCCTCTCTGGAGGTTGGGAAGGTGCTGGGGGGCTGCTTGGGATGAGGGATGTGCAGTGGCACTGAAGCACCCCCTGGATTTTGGCACCACTCGGTGATTCCGTGGCTCCCTTCCAACTCAGGATATTCTAATTCCACGATTCCCTGGCATTCACTGATGCAGAGACGTCACCAGGAGAGTCCCACACCCATCCTGGGCTGCTCCTCATGCCAGGACCCTTCACCCGTGCCCCTCACTTGTAGGTCAGCATTGGGTTGTTTTTTTCCAGCTGTGGATGTTGGGCTATCCAGTGAAAAATAAATCTGTTCACAAAGCAAGGCAGAAAACGCCAACAGCCCTCATTAAGTCACACCACGGGGAAGATCCAGATGAATGATTTGAATATTTGATTGAAGTCCCCTGGAGCAGCAGCTTCTGATTCTGCTTTGTCCCACGTGGAGGCACAAGCTGCCAAGGGCCCGTGGCCACGTCTGCAGGGTCTGGTGGATGCATGGAAAACAGCATTTCCACCTGAGTTATTCCCAAAAAATGCAGCCACCCCTGGACACAAGCAGGAGGGGTCCATGCCTGGCAGGAGAAGGAGATTGTTGACCTTCCCCTCTTCTCCCTGCTTTTGTTCCTTGTGTCCTTCTCAAATCCAACTGGGCACCCTCTCCCCGGGTCTTCCTCACCCTCTCCCCTCCCTGCCTCTCTGTCAATTTGTTCTGACTGGCTCATTAATTCATTTTGCTCGTTAACCAAAAGAAATCTCACCAATGATAACGAGTTCCAATACAAATTAATTCTGCAGGGAAGACCAGGCACTTCACAGCTCCTTGGCAGCGACAGGTCCGTGCCCAGCGGGGCCCCTGGCATGGGGCTGGCGGCCACATGGACACAGGGATCATCCCTGGAAGTGTCCAAGCACAGGCTGGACAGCAAGCTGGGACAGTGGAAGGTGTCCCAGCCCGTGGAAGGGGGTGGAATTGGATGAGTTGAAGGCCCTTTCCAACATAAACCATCCTGGGATTCAGCCATGGAGCACAAAACCCACCCGGCTTCCCCCAGGTGCCTTTCCACCAGCAGGTAAATGTTTTCAGCAGGAATTACAGCAGGAATATCCCCCTGTGTGTGCTGCTGTGAGATCCCACCCGCTCCCCGTTTGATTTTGAGCAGCAGGAGCAAAAGGCAGGGAAGACAAAGGGCAGGGAAGCTCCCTGCAGCCTCCTGGCAGGCAGGGATGAGTCAACGCCGTGCAAACAACTCTAAAAATACAAACGCTTTATTGCAGATTAATGACACCATCAAACGGATTTCACTGGCCATTTACCAGGTTGTTGATCATAAATATTTGGGATTCGCAATAAACTTCTGTGCTGCGCCACTGTGGTGGTGTTTGTGCCTCTCCCTCCCTCCCTGGGGCTGGAGCAGGGAAAGGAGACACAGGAGCTGCTCCTGCTCCTCCCTGCGGCACCGGCTGCCTTCCCACTCTGTTTTCCAGGGATCTGCTGCTCCTGCTGCCCTTGTAGTGGGTGAGCCCAGAGCTGGGGTGACAAATCCCACAGGGATCCCCCACTGGCACCGCAGCCCTGCCCAGGAGGAGAGGAGCCCTGCCCGCCCTCCCTAGGGCTCATCCAGAGGCAATTCCAGGGGAAACCCAGGGATGTCGGAATCTGAGGTGGTGATGATCCCAAAATTGTAGAAAGTCTCCGTCTGTCAGCCCTGCTGCCAAAGCAGAAGCCATAATGGGTCTGTGCTGGTTTCCAGGTTGTTTATTCTGTTTATCTCTCACATGTTCTGCTGCCCTGCCCAGCTCTGTCCTGCAGGGCAGCGTGTGGGGCTCTGCCCTCAGTGGGATGTGACAAACATTCAATACCAGAAACTCCCTGGGCTGCATTTACAAGAACGTGCCAATATCTGTCACCTACGTTGGACAGTGTGTCCCCAGCCTGAACCAACAGAAAAATGCCAACACCACAGTGAGACATGGAGGTCATGAAGAAGGAGAAAAAGGACAAGGCACACCCAATTTCCTCCAGCTTGTCCCCTTGGGACCCCTCATCTAGAATCCTACAATTTTACTTTTGCACCCGTGCCACACTTAATTATTACTGATATCAAACACTCAGAGCTGGTAATTCATGCTGTAAGATTGAAAACTCTTTTCCATGGCCAGAGATCACAGCCAGTGTCTCTGGGGGCTCTGTCCAGGAGGGTTCCTGACCCCTGAAGGGTCCCAGGGCAGCCAGAGGGAAGCTCTGGACTCCCACACAGGGAAAGGGCTCAGCACAACTCTCCAGCCTCTCTGGGAGCTCCTGCACCCAGAGCCAGGCAGCCTGGGCAGGTCACGGTGCCTGGGCTGCATTCAGAAGCTCCCAGTGACAGACCTGCCAGCAGTTTGGATTTTTCCAGCCCTTGGCTCTCGCTGGGAATGAAGCAAACAGAATTCCCTCAGAGGTCAGTGCTGCAGGGACACTGGGAATGGCTCTCCAGGAGCTGGGATCCACCCTGGAAGAGGTGACACGTCTCAGTGATCAGCAGGAGCGTGACTGCGGCTCCAAACACCCCAGGGAGGATTCCCGAGCAAATCACAGGATCAGGACAAGTCCTGGAGAAAAGGAGAATGTTTTGAACGGCCAGGAGAAACAGCAGCATCACTAAATATCCCCCATGGGGTCACCACCGTCCACAAACCTTCATCACGCTTGGAAATCAAACTCTGATGGAGCATTAATTAAGTTTTCCAGCAGGATAAAACCACTTCCTTGCTTGGGATTTCACTCTGCTCGCAAAGATTAAAAATGCAGCTAATTAAAACAAGGCTGGCATGCGAAGAAGGGAAGAATAAAAAGTCTTGTCATGGCTGGGAGGGGACAGAGCCCTTCCAGCTGCAGGTACAGATGACTCAGGGCTGCTGAATAACCCCCCTGCTGCCTCTCTGCCGGGGGGAAGGTCTCCTGTTGCTGGGAGAACTCCTCCAGCAGCTGTGTGTCACCTGCCAGGCAACAAAAATGTCCTGAAATTGGCTCCAAGGTAGCTGGTAGCCAAGTGCAGTGTTAATTAAACACCTCACGAGCTGCTCCAGACAGCTGCTGCAGAACTGCTCTGCTTCCCCCCGCCAACCCCTGATCATCTTCTGCTCAAATGAATCCTTTTCCCTGCAGCGTTTCTGAAGGGCTGCGGAGGAAGGATAACCTTTCAGGCATTCCCTCCCATCCCCTCCTGCTTTCCTGTCCCTTTCTTCTCTTGGCCAAATTTGTTTGGCCTGAAAAACCGAGTTGAAGGAGGTTTTGACTGGAAACACATCTTCTTGAAATGTGGAAGGGCTTCCTGCACTCCTGCCACCCTTCCCCAGAGGGTCTGCAACGAACCACCCCAAATTCCCTCGTGGAGAGGGGAAGGTGGCCTGGGATGCAGAAAAGGAGGAGGATTGTGAAAAATGCACATTTTGT